GCTCTGGCAGTGCGTAACCAGGGAAGTGGCTGCTCTGGCAGTGTGTAACCAGGGTGGCAGCTCCACGGGGGTTTACTGTGTGAGCTATACAATTACGACATGTCCTGTCAAGTATGTGCACTATACTTCACACACACGCGCATACACACACGCACACACGTCTGCTACTAGAAAGTCATACAGAAAAGGGAACCTGAGACGAGATGAAACGAGGCTTCCTACTACGACCACAGTTACAGCGAATGACTTCTACCCTTAACGGTTTTACTCGGAGAAGCCCCGTAACCCGGCGGTCAGTGTGTAAATACAAGAGGGCTTCGAGACACAGCATGCGGGCTGAGCGGCAACTTCACAAGAGGTAACAGAATGACATTTGTGATAAGAAAACATAAAAAGTTACTACGAAAATTGACAGGGTAAAATTATTCAAAATTTTAAGCTAATTCCTTCAATTTACTAGAAGTTACGTGTTAGATTATGCTCACACTTGGACAGATTTGTGAAGAGCCATATAAGATAGTTTGCTTTTTCTAAAAACATTATAGTCAGGCCTAGCTACGGTGGTGTGACAGGACACCACTGTGCAATACTAGAGCCACATGGGGTACCTAGGTTCAAATCCCGGGTCAACCTGCACACGGAGGATGTGTAGACTCATCGGAGCAAACGGGGGGGTGGGGGGAGGAGAAGCAGCCCTCGGCTGGGGAGTGGTGAGGCAGTCGTGTCACACTATCCCCCTATTTTCCATCCTATCAGGACTTTGGGGCATACATGCACATGTGTTTGGCATGTTTTTCAAGCCACTGGGGCTGGGATTCAAACCGTGATCAGCCTTGAGGAGCCTGGCCCCCTCTGCACAGGGCGTACCTCCTGGCCAGCACGACTTCCCACGGGACAACTACGACCTCGAGGCTTCATCGTTCCAACGTGCAATACCTCAGGTAGGAGAGACACGGAATCCACCTCCTGGTAGAGAAGGCTACGATTTCTTTGAATTCTACTTAGGCTCTCGAAGGCTGGCTTCTAGCACGCTAACTATAAGACCAATCTTTTCATGACTGTCCTAGAGCTTGGCTTACCTCTGGGGGGCTCACTAACTGGTGCTACCGCTCCGAAGTCCATGAGAGCTCTCTTACATTACTGCTCTTATACTCAGGGGCAGACTCTTACACCCAAAGGGCTCTAGGAACGGAGGGAAGAAATAATAGAAGGGCAAGCTATTGGGTAATGTTACTTTTTATTTCTTCATTTAGGTAGTAATAATTTAAAATGTTCCCAATAACCCTCACTTCTCCCCAAAATGGATCTGTTCTTGAAGACCCTCTATTAGAATGTCATAAATACCTCTTATGGGGAGTGATTTGAAAGAAACTGTCTCAGGGGAGTTTGGTTCTGGAACTTTCTGCCAACTCTCACTTCTGCCTCACGTAAAAGCAGGCGGCAGGAAGGGGATAAAACCCCAGGTTTTTTTGGAGAGACTTTTTTTTTGCTATAGGGCACGTGCGCTTGCCAGACAGAGACAGACAGAGAGACGGAAAGTGAGAAATCACCCCCCGGGGGGATGGCCACGCCACAATCCCTTCTCCGTTCTCCTCTCAGGATCTTGGGCACGCACGCACACACGCCCAGCGTGAGTTTTAAGCCACCGGGTCTGGGACGCGAACCGTGGTCAACTACATGGGAGTCCAGCGACATAGCCATTACGCTAACTGCTGGTCCCAAACCCCAGGGTTTTGATCTGTGGTGGGGAATCAACACAAAAGTGTAACCACATTCTGTTCTCTCCCACAAACAACGGGACAGGAGTCGGGAAAAGCCCTCTGAATAAAGGCAAGACGCCGTCAGGGATGTAACGGAAAGTGCCCCGTTCTCCTGCCAACACCGAAACTGCGGCTCGGCAGAGCTAACGAGGCGAGGACGCTGCTTCCAGGCAGCACACTCCACGACAGGGCCTCTGGGAACACGAACCATGTGTCTTTACCTGGGATTGGAACAAGGTACTCTCTGGGTATTCACATTGTCACATAAGGGTTCTCCTCCATGGTAGATACCTGTTCGAACATAGATCTAAAAAAATGGTTAAAGTATGAGTATTTAAATATATATATACATATACTAGACAGAACCGATATTTAACAATACAATAATGTAACTGACATGCATAGAAGAAACAATGACAAATTTCTGTTCTACTATAGCTTTTCTGTTATCCTTTTCTTTATTTATATAGTAAGTTAACAATGATATAGATTATTCACCCGTTAATAATAATGGGGATATCAGACTACTGAAAAGTAACAGAGGCCAGCAATCTCTCTAAGCTAGGTATGTCATTCAGAGTCTCCCGTATTTTAGGAAGATAAACTGGCACATATAGTAAACATTAGTTAAAACCTTTAGCAGTTGGAACAGCACTCCATAAAGACATTAATACTTCTGCAACAAGATGTGTGAGTACTGCAAACACTGCAAAAGCCTCTCTTCAAATCTGACGAGGTTTTGCTGCCAAATGAATTCTGCAAAACCTCTGTTTTTAAGAGCCTAGAATTATGGACAGTATACTTATTTAAATACTAGAACTACAGATATTAGAACGCAGGGAGAGGACTGTGAGCCCTACGATGGCTGAGGCAGATGGAAGCGCACACGGAGCCCAGCAGAGTTTTATTTTGCGACGTGGGCGTTCCTCTAGCCTTCAGAAAGCACACTACAGGTCCACAGACCATCACGCAGTTAAGTAACAAAGATTCACATCATGTAAGAGCTCGACATCTGACTGTACCTTATCGATGTCTCTAATGTTTACATTCACGTATGTAGCGCAGAGAATTTTTATTCTGAGTGCGCTGTTGATAACCCAGAGGGATTTCGTGGCGGTCTCTCCGTTCATGTACGGCGTGGCTGTGGAGATGCGCCTGGAGTAGGACGGCATGGTAAAGCAGTCCATGGGCAGTTGGGAGTAAAGACTCTCTTTAGCCATCAGCATCAAATTGGGCATCCTCCCAAGCATTATACAGCTTCTTATATACTGGAAGTGATTAAAAAGGGAAGAAGGAAGCCATTTCCTGTGAGTTTTCCATTTTAAAGGCAACAGGCAAGAACACTGAGAACTGAAATACTAATCTGTGATAAACAAACAGTATAGACCATATTTCTTACCAGTTAAATATTTGTAACATTTAAAACACTAACACTCAGGAGTTACATTATAGCACAGGATCGACCAGGCAACTCTGAATATAAATTGTATATGTTAAAAAAAAAAGGCCAGTTTTTGATACTATAATTCTACACTTAACTGGAAACAAAAAAGAAAGACCGAAGAATGAACCAGAGGATACTCATTATAAGAGCGTTGTACTTGTTAACAGAAAAATATCACTTAGTAAACCTCTGTTATCCAATCTATTAAGTCACATTGGTGTCCCGTCCAAGGGTTGCCATCCACCTGCTTTTCCTGTCTAAACGTTTCCTGAGAAATACTTGTTTTGTTAAACACATACACACACACAAATGGAAGAAGTGGATAAAATTTATGAATGTATTAAAAAAAACTATTGGTACCAGCAGTTAGCATAATGGCTATGTCGCTGGACTCCCATGTAGTTGACCGCGGTTCGAGTCCCGGACCTGGTGGCTTAAAACTCACGCCAGGCACGTGTGCGTGCGTGCCCAAGGTCCCGAGAGGAGAACGGAGGAGAAGGGAGTGTGGTGTGGCCATCCCCCCTGGGGGGTGATTTCTCGCTTTCTGTCTCTCTGAAAGAGAGCTCTGTTTGGCAAGTGCACACACCCCATAGCAAAAACCTCTCCAAAATAAATAAATAAATAAATAAATAAAATAAGTAACCTATTAAAATGCACTGGCCTGAAAATTTTTTTGAATTAAAAAATTTTTTCGTATTTGTTATTATAACTTTTTTATATTACATTTAATCACATGTATCTTTACAATGTATTACATTCTCCCCAGCATGATTACCATGCGTATCAGTCAAGACAAAGACATTACTGTCCATATCATTATCAAATTGCTTTTCATTATTTTTTCAGACTATTATTATTTATTCTCATTATTTTTTAAAGGAAATATTTAATTTTGGGGGGAAACTTTTTAAAATTAATTAATTTACATTAATTCCCTAAGCATCGTTCACAGCATACAAAATGTGATTTCCCAACCAGAATATACTGTATAGTGGCTTAATCATGCATGTTATCGTCAATAATTTTCCATTTCTAGTTTCATATATATGTTTGTGTGTGTATATATGTGTGTGCATGTGTGTATATATGTGTGTATATGTGTGTATATATGTCTGTGTATATATGTGTATATATGTGTATGTGTATATGTGTATATATGTGTATGTATATGTGTATATATGTGTGTATATGTGTGTATATATGTGTATGTGTGTATGTGTGTATATATGTGTGTGTGTGTGTGGATATGTGTGTGTGTGTGTGTGTGTGTATGTATTTTACCCCTATTTCTGACCCTCTGTCAGTTCACACCCTCCTCCCATACTATCTCTGGTGTCTACAGTTGTTTTCCATTATTTTTCCCTCACATTTTATTGATCACAAAATTTCTTACATAATCTAACTACTTTCAATAGCAAGTTCAGCCGATACGATAGTTAGGATGCAGGTATTAACATGAACGCTGCTACATGCATATTTTAACAGTCCTTTCTCTTTTCCCCCCTTTTTTAGTTTTGTTATAGAGTGCCTACACCCACGAGAGAAAGAGAGAGAGAGAGCTCTCCATCGGGGGATGGCCATGCCACAATCCCCCCTCTATTTGCCTCTCAGGATCTGGGCCATGCACGCACATGGGCCCGACGTGTTTTCAGCACTGGGTCAGGACCGAAGGCCCGGCCACAGCCAACTTTCTTACCCAGCTGTCCCACTAGATCACAAGACCCCGGCAGCAGGCCCGCGGCTCCCTGTGCTGTAAATGAGATGTGTCTGCACCTGGTGCAGACACAGCTGCTTCTGTGTCGGCACTGACCGAACAAAGAGAGCGAGGCAGAGTGAGGTACTGAGGGCACACCCACAGCACAGCATCGCACCTGAGCTGCCACGCATCATGAGATGCCCGTGTTTGGGGATTAGAATAACTGCCAATGCTTTTGTCCCCCAAATTAGATATAACTATATCATAAAAATAAACGTAAACAGATGCAATTTACTAGTATTATTTAATTTAAAAAAGTATATCCTAAAAATACAGATGTAAGTCCTTAATGCAAATATTTCTTAAATTTAAAAATAACAGCCTTGAAACTTGTTACTCACCTTATACTGACTCAGAGGGTATTTTTCTAGGAAGTATTCATCACATCCACACACTTTTAAAATATACTTGCCCTGGTATTCTAAGACGCAGAGTTTTAGCTGTTCAGAGGACAGCAGCATACTTCGAGTTTTCTTCCGGATCGCTTCAGCAATGACCTGCTCTGGCACGCAGTCGTGGCTGATCTTCAGAGTATACTTCTGTTTGTCATTATTTGGAGAAACTATTACCCAGATCACCACTATTATTTGCCCTAAAACAGGGAGACATTATTAGAGGCAGCACTGTGTCTCTTTCATTTTTCAAGAGACCAGTTTCAAAGAGTATGCACTATCACTTTAACCACAGCCAGAAAGGGCTTATGACCAGCCTAACTACATGCAGGCAAACATGGGAGACAGGAAGTGCTCCTGTCTGACAAGGTCGCCGACCATCCCCCAGTCTCGTGCTTTATGGCAAGCAGGCAAAACCACGGCTGGGGGTCACCAGTACCGAGACCAAGCTGAGCCCGTCTAAGCGTCACGGGGTACACAGGTGCTCCCCCTGTGTGACCTAGAGCACTCCAGGCCCGAGGAGGCCGTGCTGCTGGGGACACCGGTGTGTAAGGAAGGGGTCAGCAGTGCTCACGGAGGCCCAGTTAGAACACCACACAAGGTGCGGGAGGAGGGGAAAGGAGATGGGGAAGGAGAGGAAATGAGTTTTCTACTTTCTCCTTCTAAGATCCACTAAGCAGAGAACAAGGAGGAGGAACAGAGACAACAATGGAAAGACTAAGAACCACGCTGAGTGGTCTGGTTGTTCACACTGCAGTTCCTTCACCTTTCCTGGGGCTGACGTTTTCTCCTAAGACATGCTGCACCGGGCGGGGTTGGACTGCTTGGAAAAACCAGGGTGAGGAGGGACAGACATCAGCCTTATTCTACGGGGGCCTTGGGAAAGCCCTGAGCATTATTTCACAGAAAAGCATGCAATGACTTTCCTGGTGATCCAATATTGACACCGCTTTGTAACTAACCGTGTTAACCTATTCTGTAACTTCGAATTGACACTCTTACTTTGTTTTCTCGACATAGACAGATTTATCTGATATCATATTTATTTTATAAGACAATATAGTGCATGTATTTCCAAGTTCACTTAATCCTAAAAATTCATATATTAAATGTAAAGTTTACCTATTACCTATACAGTACCATTCATTATGATGAAACCTAACTGCACTTAACATCATGAAATTATTTTTTCTTTGTATATCTAACAGGAATATAAAAGATTTCTCAAAATTTCATAAAATGTTTCCATTTATCTTTGATTTTACTTGTAAAAAGATAAGCAGCTTTGGGAACTAGCAGTTAGTGTAATGGCTATGTTGCTGGACTCCCACGTAGTCGACCGCAGTTCGCGTCCCGGACCCGGTGGCTTAAAACTCACGCTGGGCGCATGTGCATGCGTGCCCAAGATCCCAAGAGGAGAATGGAGAAGGGATTGCAGCATGGCCATCCCCCCTGGGGGGTGATTTCTCGCTTTCTGTCTCTCTCTGTCTGTCTGGTGAGCGCACGCGCCCTACAGCGAAAACCTCTCCAAATAATAAAAAAAAAAAGATAAGCAGCTTTAATTCTATTTGTATCTCAAAATTCAGTGAATCTCAAACTCGAAGTTCGTTCGTTTTCGGGAGACGAACACTTCCCTAAGCACCCCGAGCACCAGCTGACTCAGGTCCACGTGGGCATCACAGCCTACGCTGTGTACTCGGTGCTTGTCTCTCTCTGGTATAAGCAGTCCCTGTGCTTGTCTCTGTCTCTTCGATATAAGCAGTCCCTGTGCTTGTCTCTGTCTCTTCGGTATAAGCAGTCCCTGTGCTTGTCTCTGTCTCTTCGGTATAAGCAGTCCCTGTGCTTGTCTCTGTCTCTTCGGTATAAGCAGTCCCTGTGCTTGTCTCTGTCTCTTCGGTATAAGCAGTCCCTGTGCTTGTCTCTGTCTCTTCGGTATAAGCAGTCCCTGTGCTTGTCTCTGTCTCTTTGGTATAAGCAGTCCCTGTCTTCAAGACACTCATCTGCATGGAGAAAAAAGAACACACAAAAATACAGGCAGAGCCGACCACTTCCCTGTAGAAAGATCTCGCTGAACTCACGCCCCCGTACCTTTGTCTAGTTTATTATAAATGTGCTTCGGCAGTTCTGGCGAAGACTCCACATTTGGAGGGTAGACATACATGGCCCTACTGTGAGGTGAATTGAGGTCCCTAAGGTCCACGGCTTCTTTACAGACGTTCAGGATGTTTCTCCGGAAGTCCTGCACTTCTGGGTCTTTAACCATATCGAATTCACACACTGGCATGCCGATAGCAAAACCTTAAAATATACAAAATATCATACTTTATATTATATATTACACAGCACGAACACGTTTCTTACAAATACTGAACTGTGGCTATCTGGAAGATCACAAAATAGTGAAGAAGTTTCTTCAGGCTAGAAAATGTTCTGTGGGTACACACACTGGGTCGTCGGAAGTCATAACGCATTTTCCTATTTTTCTATGTAAAAATGGGTCATTACTTTTCCAAAGACCCAACAGCAAGATGACAAGGTTCCAAATATTTTTAATATATGAAGGACAACATATTCAACAGTTCTGAGTAAAGGCAGCAAACATTGTCCATATCAGTTATTTTTTAAAGGATAACAAAACAGATCTGGGATATAATAAATCTAAGTCATCCCACAAGTGATATTTCTTAATGAAAACCTTACAAAATATGCAGGTGTTGAAAATAGCTTCAAAGCTTAACAGTCAAAACTACTTCAAATTCATAATGATTTTTATTTAGATATCTACTTAAGATTACAGAAAGTATTTCAGTAAAAGGACAATGGTTGTTCAAAGCTATTCACACTTTAGAAGAACACAGCAATGCCAATTAACTGACACGTAATGTCATACCAATTTCTCGGTTGAGGATCTTCTCTTCACGGTTGCCTACAGGTTCGATTACTTTTAAAAACGGTTGAAAAAGCCGAAGGTCGCAAAGTCGTCTTGTCTCATCAAAAAATTCTTCCCTTTCTGCTTCTTGGGTAACACTTACGAAAATGTAAGAAGACTCATCTTGCAGAAGCTGGTGGAGGGGGTACTTTCTTGCTTCTTTAAACAGCTCATGCTTTATGGTCACCAGCGTGGCCTCACGGAGGCACTCTAAAGTCACTATCATCCCGTTTGGTAGTAAACATTCCACGAGGATTCTTGGGGGCATCAAGTGGATGCCCCACAGCTCACCCGACGACGGCCGTGGGGGCATGGTCCTGCTCCTCTGTACGTCCTACATATAAAACTACGTTAAGGACTCAGATGTGTAGCTGTCCCAAAGCAGAAACCTAGACGAGAGATGAAAAGAATCTTTTAAAAGAAAAACAACTATAGAATACATATATGTCATTGCTAAATGTAAAATTCATTTTGTGCAATATGAATTGATTAGGGTAAGTAGCAATAATTTATATTAAAAATTTTAACCAAGACTGTTGTTCTAAATTAGGCTAATACAACTGAGTTCAGCTGGGATTAGAAAAGCCACTCATACTTAATTATGTTTAATAAAGTTGCTTTAAAAAACATTATATTTGAGTGAATTTTCTAAGTCAGGTCTTATCAAGGCGGAGCTGAGGTATGAGGAAAATGAAATATAAGTTGTGAATCAGACCAGAATTCTCCTCACACACCTCCTCTATCATTCTCTTATTTCATGGAGTAATGGAATTTGGCCCAAGATATGGCGGCTCATGGGTCTGCTGTTTTTCTTTTAAAGTCAAGTAAAGCCTAGCAAAGTCCAATCTGGGCTGGCCCCATGCTGGTGCTTAAGGGGGCTGGGTCCCACACGGGACCGTACAGTCTGAGTGCCGGCCCCAGTGGTCTAAGAAACACGCCCAGCACGTGTGCCCATGACAGTGGAGGACTGCAGTGTGACCGGCCCAGTGGGGGTACTTTCTCACGCCCCACTTCTTGGTCCCTCCCGGACAAGCACACATGGCCTCTGGCAACAAACAGTTAAAGACGTGATTTAGGTATGCGTTCTTAATAACATGAAGCTTCATTAATATGTGTTTTCCGTGGAGGGTGACGACGCATTTGCAAGGATCTATTCATGCTTTCAAATAACCCAGTCCTAATCCCTGCCCCTAATTTAAGAGGTTTTTCACCTTAGGGCACATGTGTTCGCTGGAGAGGGAGAGAGAGACAGAGACAGCAAGAGGGAAAGTGAGAAATCACCTCCCGGGGGGATAGCCACGCTGTAATCCCTTTTCCTCCATTCTCCTACTGGGATCTTGAGCATGCACACACAGGCGCCTGGCATGACTTTCAAGCCACCGGAACTGAGACTCAAACGGCAGCCGGCCATGTGGGAGTCCAGCGATGCAAGCACTGGGCCACCTGCCGGCCCTTGGTGCTTCCGAGGGAAATGCACCTGCTCCACGTCCGCGTCAAGTGTGGCCTCGCTGCCAGCATAGCCTTCCCACACCCGCGTTAAGGGCCTGCCGCACCGGGAGAAACCAAGTGCTATCATGACTGGAAGGCCTTTCCTTTCTCAGACGTCAACTATCAAAACTAACAAACACACATTTAGCTCTTGCTGTTTATACTTTCTTTTATTCTGTAAGCTAATCTGCAAGGGTCCAAGTGGTAAATAGGTTAGTGTCGACAGTAAATAAGAATGAAATCACAGTCAAGCTATGAGAACGAGTCAGAGGCCCCACTGCCCCATTGTATTCGATTACTAATCAGGCACTGTGGACAGCAGCCACACACAAACACGCCCACCCCCACACCCACGTGCGCACACACACACCCACACATACCCACGTAACTGTTAGAGGAGGCAGGTGCTTGCCAGAGCAGAAAGGACGAAGACGAGGAGCCCCTCCCCCCAGTGGGTGTGGTCACTCCAGAATCCCTCCTCTAGGTCCCACCCCCGGCTGATTTCTAGGCTAGAGCCCAGTTTATTTTCACCCGGACAGGTGGCCACATGGGGTTCGCTTCCTCGGCCTCCTGGGCCTCAGCACTGGCCTGGCGCGGCTGTTACGGACAATGTGTCTGCTGCTCCCCGGGTGCACTGGCGCTGA